TGAGAGTGTAACGTAATTATCCATCAGTGCAGTGTTATAACTACACCTCTGACGTTTATAACAAACCAATCGGAAAATCGGTAGAAAATTGAGCAAGTTATGGTTGTTTAAAAAGTACAAGCACCACTACAAAGCAATGTTGTGGGTGAGCGAGCGGACCGTACCAAGATGGCTGCCAGTGTGGCTGTGCAATTCCACTGGGCGGCAGCGCAGACGAAACATGTAGCCTTTATTATACATATCTATGGATAAAACCCCCAGAGGGTTCCAAGTAGAACCCCTTTAGGGTGGAACCTTTCACAGATGTTCAAGTTATAACCCTTTATGTTGAGTTCTTGGTACAGCCTTGTAAAAGGGTTAAAGACAAAACCTTCATAAAAAGATTTATTGGAAACCAAAAGAGGCTGAAATCCCGATTTTATTTTGAAAGGGACAGTGGAGAAGGACAGGAAATGTGGGAGAGAGAACAACAGAATGACTCACAGGCTGGCTGAGAGCCATCATCAGAAAAAGGCAATAAAAAAAAATTTAAAAAAGTCAGATGACTTTTGGAAAAAAATGTATTGACTTCATCGATTTATTGTTTTTTCATGATGATTTTTTAATTTGAGGCTTATGGGAGCCAGAATTTTGTGGAGCCAGCTCCCAGTGGCACTCAGTGGTATTGCGCTTTCTTGCAATTCCACATTGGCTTTGCCTTCGCCAGTTGCTATGTTTATCCTTTTTTAGACAGTTTATCACACAAAAACATGACAGCTTATTTTACAGAAGCATGATTGCAAAGGATTTATTTGTAAGTATGTCCCAATTGTATGCATGCCGCATGCAACAATGCATACTTTGTAAGGACAGCTGAAGTATATACTGAAATTAAAAAAACGCATGTGAAGTGAAATACAAGGCATGACTGAAGCTACTTCTGGGTGGTCACGTAAATTGTCCAAACTGTAAAGCTGCCAGCTTATTAAAACACAAATTGAAAGACATCTGACAGAGCTGGGAGAGGAGGCAAAGCAACGAATGATGTCCCTTATGCGAATGAGTAATTAGAAAAGTAAGAAAATTACTTTCATGATGACTAACCTGTACATTTCAGCACTGCCACATCTTTTAACAAAGCACAGGAAAATAAAGTCATCTCAGTGTGTAACTGTTAGATTAACACAGAATGTCTAAGAAGTAAACGCTGGGTTTCAGTGGATTTACCAGCACATGCAACATGAGAAATTTAATGAAGATCATTACATTTTTTCTAACACTGCCTTCTTCTAACTATGTTACCTTACAAACTGTTCCTCCACATTTTTCTATTTATCATTACACTTCGATTTACATACAGGTAATCCCCACAAGACTAGTCTGTACACACACAGGCATAATCAGCACACACACAAATGCATGTACACACACGATTGCTCCCTACATGGAATTGGCCAATCCCACTCCTCTCTGACAGGCCACATTAAGAACAGCCTGCTCAGCATGAACACATCATAAAAGTGGACAGGCAATTTCTGTTTTCACCAAATAGCCAGCCGAGCTCGTTCTGCATCTCTGATTTTAATGCACTCGACAAGCAGCTTAGCAGCCAGAGAGAGAGAGAACTCTGGCCCCAGGGAGGCAGCACGAGAGACAGTGTATGGTGGGAAGAACAAGAGAGAGAGAGAAAGTTATGCCTTCTAGCACTACTAAATCCATTTCTCCATCTGAATTATCAACTAGAATTTGATTAATATGCAAATTCAGTGGGGGAAGGGACAAAGTCTGGAATAATTCTTGTTGTGGTTAGTAATTAATCACCGGTTAAAGTAAATTAATACATATATCAATTTTGTCAGGGACACACTTAGTTCAATAGCCCGTAAAATTGAAGTCTAAAGTGTTAAGGGGTTCTACAGAAACGTTATAACTAAAACTTTCAAATCCACCCTATTTAGTGATCAATCAAGCTGTGCCCTGCGGCAGAACCAGCTCATTTCTTCAGCTCCGTCCTGACACACAGAGACACAGAGCACACACGCCTGCTTAACACTGACTGCTCCTGCAGCACACTCACAGGTTTGTGTGCAGCTCTCAATGCACTGTACAGCACAAGACAGGACTGTAAAAAAACAGTCCAGAACAGGAGCTCGTTTTAAATAAAGAAGGCTGATCAGTGGATGGCATGCGTTCATTGATAACTGGAGTGAATATACCTGGTTAAAGCATGGTGTACTCACAATAATAACAATATGTTATTTATTACAACAACTATGAAAAATGTTTCAATATCCTATTATTATTATTATCATTCAAGAAATGACCTCCATCGCAAGCTGTTAAAACAGCTTTCTACTGCTGGCAGCAATGGTAATGGAAATAATAATACAGTTGTTATTGTTGTCGTAATTATTAAAGCAATAATGTGCTACTAGTGCTATGTAAAACAGCAGTCATCTCCACGGGGGTGTGAATGGTAATTTCTAGAACAAATAAGCTAAAATCTGCAATTTTTTTAAAACAAACAAACATAAAAGTCTTAAATATAAAAATCAATTGACTGATTTTATTATAAGATATAGAGCTGCAAAGCAGAATTGTAATTACATAAAAATGCTCAACTATATAATTATTACCATTACTATTAAATATTTGTAATCAACATTGTCATGCCTAGATACAAATAAATAAAACAATAAATACAACTAAGACAAAACTATATTAAACATAAAAATCAATTGATTGATTTTAATACTACACACACACACACACACACACACACAGGAGAATTGTAACTTCATAAAAATGCCCCACCACGTCATTATTGCTATTATTGTTATTAAATATTAATAATTAAAATTGTGATGAGAGAATATTAAGTAATTTCCATGGGAAATTAGATCAACAACATGCCTCAAGCTGACAAATAAACAAGGAAACAAAAAAAACAGCAATATCAACAACAACAACGATACTGCTACTATTACTACCACTCCTCCTCCTCCTCCTACTACTACTACTAATAATAATAATAATAAATAATAATAATAATAAGAAGAAGAATTTAACATTAACAAATAAATCTTCTGGGTGTAATAATGATGGATGTTTAACTTGTAAACCTACACAGAAAGATATAAATACAAATAATAAGTATACATCTGTCATTGTGGTCCAGCAGGAAGAAGCAGAGGGCCAGTGTCAGGTCCACTTGTTTAACCAGGGGGCTATGCATCAAACTTCAATTTTCCGGCCGATTGAATAAATGATCCCTCCCTCCCTCTCTCCCTCTGTGTGTTTTTGTGTTGGTGTTTTTCCCACATTCCTCCTTAAAGAAGCCCATGTCTTTCCGGACTGTGCTCCATACTCGCTGAAGAAAAGCCTGTCCAGAGCGGCGTCCACACATCGGACTGCTGCAGTATTTCTAGTGTTTCTGTACATTTTAAAATCATTGTCATTTTTAGAATCACGTCTGTGGATAATTGCATAGAAATATTAAGTAGTAGAAAGAGAACATTACATTTTAGTTTGTTTACAATATTTGTTTACACAAATATGATCATTTTCCCCCCACACAGGCCGTGAGGTGTTAAAAGCATGAGTTCAGATTTATCTGGACACAGACCTGTACCAAAGGAAATTACATTAAACTCGGTTTGAACACCGTTTGAGATTTTGTAGCATTAGTCCGGTAACTGCAAAGCTGCCATAAGTCACTGGTAAACAAACAAAAAACAAAACAAAACAAACAAACAAAAAACCCCACACAATTCCTTTGTTGTTTAAAACAGACTTTGTCCAGTTTGATTCTTGGTCTTAACGGCATCACCACCACAGGCACGACTACAGAAGGAAAATGCTGCAGATTGGCCTAACTGATGAAGTGCAGTTGAAAATGTGTAGCTCAGAGCTCTGTTGTCTAGAAGTAAATTATTTCAAGACTCCCGCACGGACACAAAGCTCCGACCAGCCCACTGAGCTCATTCACATTCATGGCCGTGTTTGAAAGCAGCGCACTCACCGAGCGTGTCTGCATTATGGGCGACAAAGAGGAGGCTACGTTGTTGAAAAGACGGGTCAAGTAAATCAATCAAAGTGACTCGTAATTGAGAGGAGAATCCTGAAACCATATGGCCTCTGCAAAGCTGTCCTCTGGCCGTCTTTGTGCGCAGAGAGCCGCCGGCCGGTGTGGCGCGGCGACACGCTTGTCCGTGTTGCGCGGCTGGAGAGAGGCCCCCGGGGCACACTGTGTCACTGCGGGGCTCCCTCTTCGCTCCAGATTGTTTCTCACAGAAAAATGAAAATCCACACAGGAGGTCAGAAGGCAAGTTGCTGTGGTAAATGGGTTTAGCAAACAACGCCGTTCTGCACCACAGTCCTCCATAACGCAAGACCCCCCAACACATGGAGCCCAAAAGGATTTCATGTGAACGCCTTGTTCGCCTCAGAAATAATATGCCAAAATGTGATTATTTGAAAAGGTTTTATTTAACCTCGTCAGTATAGTTTACATTACAATTTGTACAGGTCTATGCTTTCTGTGTGATAAAGGCACTTAAAGGGTGTAGCAAAGCATTATAAATATATTAAACCGGAAATTATTACAAGCTTCTACACATTTTCTGTGCGTGATTATCATTTCGGAACAATCAATATATCAAAAGGGTGGAAACAATCGGCGCGAGCTTATAAAATGATTGGTGGAGGCCTTCCAGCCGTTCAGAGTCAAGGTTCATACATGAATCATGCGGTGAAATCTTTCTGTGGTCAGACTAACCAAATCTACTGGTGTGTGTTGCACCTGCATGTAGTTCTTTCTGAATGTCTGTTTGTCTGTTTGCATGTCAACATGTCACGTTTTCTGAGCGCGTACATGTCCCGCACAACGGCTTCCCTCACATCAGCACCGGAACTTCTGATTTAGAAACGCATCGCTGCGTAAAGGCTGAAATCCAGAGTTTGTGTCGGCTGACATGGTGCTACTGCTCACTGCTTTGGTGACCACTGACAGTCCTGCTATTTTAGTCATCCACGTCAATCTCCTCATCTTCATCTTCCGAGAAACACTTGCTGCTCAGTCGGTCTGTGTACATCGACGGTGCGGGTGATGGAGGCGACATGTGTGGCCTGCTCGGGCCGAAGCTGCCGGTGTCGTGCTGCTCGGTGTCGCCCGGTGCAGAAGCCATCCCACCGCCCAGACCTCCCGCCGCGCACTTCTCTAGCTCGGCCAGCTTGGAGAGCTTCTCAGAGGCCACAGCACCCACGGCTTTGGCGGACTCCACGTCAGCTTTCATTTCTTCCAGATCCCGCTTAAGCTTAGCCCGTCGGTTCTGAAACCAGGTGATGACCTGAGCGTTTGTCAGACCAAGATGCTGAGCGATCTGGTCCCGGTCCGCTGGGCTCAGGTACTTCTGGTACAAGAAGCGCTTCTCCAGCTCGTAGATCTGGTGGTTGGTAAACGCCGTGCGGGACTTCCGCCGCTTTTTCGGGGTGTTCCTCTGACCGAAGAGCGTCAGACCGTCTCGGCCTGAGAGAAAGGAAAGAGTCACATCATATCAGGTGTAAAATAAGACTGAAAATATGAGCGAGACCTATACACACACACACACACATACACACACATACACTATATATATAAAATGTGAAATCTGAATAAGCGACCACACTGCTGCAGCTCTTCCAGCCTGATGTCAGCCACTTAAACACCATCTGAAAACACTGAGGCCTCCTGTGTGGCATGTGTGCATAAAACAGGACTGAAAACTAGCTTTGGAAATTATTATAGATGATACAGTAACTTTCATTAGTGTGATGTTCAAACGCTGTGTTCAACTAAACACACGCTTGTGCTTCAGTAAATTATTATTATTATTATTATTTTTAAAGTAAATCCAGTCAGGCCCATGGTGTTGCCGTTTATATCTATTCAGAGCAAGTTGCAGTTCGTTTGGAAGCAGATAATACATAAAACTATACAGACATTAAAATACACGCTTCATGGGCATGTTGTTGTCTTTTATTTATCTGTTTTTTAAGAACACATTTTAGAAAGAAAAAAAAATGCTGCTGCTTTTGAAATGCTGATATCTCCCATAAAAACAAGACAACTAATTGATGGAGCAGCGTTTACCCTCGGCAGCCTGCAGGACGCTGACCTCCAGGCCCTTGAAGGTTTTGCTGGCCAGCTCCTCCAGCGCGCACAGCGGGGACGTCTGACTGAGCAGCGCCCGGCCGGACAGGCTGTGACCCGCGAATGGCAGCTTTTCTCCGGGGGAGATGAGGTGCGGCGGTCTGCTCAGAGAGTGGCTCCTTCTCACAGACGGCTTGTTGAGGATGTCCTCGATGCTGAAAGGCGTCAGTGGCTTGCTGGAGTTGGCCGGTGGCGGGAGCTGGTCCAGCGGACTGCGCCTCCTGTCCTCCAACACCGATGGGCATTCCGAGTCGTCCTTAGAGGTCATGACAGCTCAGCGGGTCACACTTGGAGGTGGTAGTTCAGATATGAGGCAGTGGAGCAATTTTAAAAAGATTTGGGGAAAATAAGGATAGTCCGCAGGACGGATCACACGTGGATCAGGAGCGTCATACTTCCTCGGGGCTGCAGGGACACCTCTGACTCCCAGTTCGAGTCCCACCGCGTCTCTCAGCCACTTCCCAAGAGTGACGTGCAAAGGGACGAGTCGAAGCCATCCGGTGGACGGTGATGCGCCGACAGTAACAGCGACTGTCCAACAGAAACAAGTTATTACGGACTGGAAGGCAATCAATTACTCTCTCTCTCTCTCTCTCTCTCTCTCTCTCTCTCTGTCTGCGTGAGAGAGAGGGAGGCAGAGACGCAGCCTGCAGGGCAGCGCTGATCACAGGCCGAGCGGAAGGAGGAGATAGAAGCAGAGGAGGCCACGGAACGCCTTTTCTCTAAAAGTAGACAATTTGTCTCATTTCTAACACTATGATATTATCCTCATTTGCATACTCGCCGTAATTGGCACCGGATCACCGGTGGCTGTCCGTCAGTCTTCAGGCCAATCACACAGCGAGGAACCCAGCGCACGAGCGGCTCAACGACCAATCCCAGCCAGGAAATGCGGGCGCGCGCTGTGCTGTAAACACAGTGGCAGGAGGCCAGCAGCCCGAACACAGAACACAGCATCAGCACATGGAGCTCCATTCATGCATTTAATCTCTAAACAAGCACACACGTGAGTCTCCTGATTTTAGAATTGGTTTATCTGGAAAATCATTTTCTCTTTCAAAGAAACGCACCCAGCATCATGACATGAGGCAGCTACTGTCTGGATGTTCTGATCTGTTCTGGGCCCTGTCTAATCCGGCAGGGTCCTTGCTAAACATGTTCGGTGGTTATATTTGTGAAACCGTCTCAGATGTTTGTTTTCTTGTCTTTTCAATCTCTCTGTTACTGTTTTAATAAACACATTTTTTTTTAAAGTTATTTATTCATTTATTTATTTATAAACATTTCAAAGCAACTGCTGATACAGTTTGAAGTCTGATAATCCAATTCAGTCGCTTTAGCTTGTCGTGTTTTCCACCTCTGTTGTTTCACAGCTGGACTTCTTATTATAATAAGTACATAAATGTTTTCCATGCTTGTGCTCAGATCATGTTTTTTTCACTTAAAACATATATATGCTCATTCCCTAGTTGTAAAGCGGTTCCTCAAAAATATGTTTAAAAAGAAAAATAGATCATGTGTGGGATTCAAATCGGGGAATTTAAAACAAGCAAATGAATCATAGATCTGCTGAAGCTTTCGATACCAACTTTTAAAAATTGACAGCTTTGAGCTAATTTCAGTCTATATTCAGATGACTGATGAGGCTTAAAGACTGCCACAGGATTGTATTTCGGGCGGGGTGGAGCGTTCTGACCTTTATTTTAGGAAATCCCTGGAGAATCAGAATATTTCCAGGGTTGGGGAGTCGCAGCATGAAGCCATGCAGAGGCCTGGCTGTACTGACCTCCCAGGAACACGCTGCAACGCTTCCTTCTACCGCGAGAACATCTGCTACACCTATTTACTGCTGTTACCATGGCAGCACAGCAGCCATGCTGCAGGCCAGCAATGGATTTATTTAGATTTTATTCCAGAATGTCAGTCATTCGATTTGATTTGTTGGCGGTGTGTAAATGAAAACATAAGAAGGGAAGAATTTGACCAATAAATAAATAAAACCTCAAGGTCCACATACTTTCTTTCATTTTTCATCTTTCATAGTCCTCACCAGTGGATGGAGTTTACTGCTTCTTCTTTGATTCCAAGGTTGACAATTAAATCCAACTGTTAAAAAAAACATTCAACGTCAAAACGTTGAAGTGCCATTAAAGACGAGAAATAAAAATACAAACACAGCAAAGAGATTTCCTCAACATTTCCTCCCCTTCCTTGTGGGCCTGTTTTTCCTCTTAGTTATTTGTCTGCATTTGCTGACATGAGAAAAAATATTTCTTAAGAAACTGTGCGTGATGCAGCAGTCAAAGATCTTGAATTTCTGGAGTTTTTCCAGTGGACCGGTGTTGTTAGAGCCGTTTTTTTCCTGCTCCCAGCGTTAATAGCTTATATGTTAAATACAGGTAATAAACAGGCCACGCTGGCTCCAGTGCCTCAGCTGGTGAAAGGTGTAATAGCAGGTAGTCGTTGTCAGGTATTTACAGTCCAAACATGGACAGAAATAGAAGAGCCGTGGCTGGCAGTGCAGAGAAGGTACAAAGAAAAAAGACTTCACTGGTGCAACAGATACATGAAAGTTGTTGGAAAGGAATGAGGAGGACGGAAATATAACGAATAACAAGTTTATTATTATTATTATTATTATTATTATTATTATTATTATTATTATTGTTGTTGTTGTTGTTGTTGTTGTTGTTGTTATTTTAAATCTGACAATTAAAGCAGCAATTAAATCAGATTAGGGTCAACATGAACTGATCATTACATTAGATTGGATTTTTAGACCCTTTACACGTTTGAAAGGAAAATCTTATTTTCATCGTTTCTCTTTTTAGATTAAAATGAAGAATGAACTGATGGATGTGTTGTGAATTCTAATTCAGTGTCAGTCCATCCAACAGGACCGCAGATCCTCGGGTTGCTTTTTGTAGAGTCATTAGAGGAGTTTCGGGAGGCCATCTGCCCTCACAGCCTTGTGGTGCTCTGATAAAGCCCTCGGACAGTTTTATTTCGTAATTTACTCCTGCTTTGGTCGTGCTGTGACATTTGATTACACGCCTTGTCTTGGATCTTTTCTTGCCCGTTTTATTCTCCATCAGTGAGTTCAACATGGACGCTGATGGATGTGATGTCTTCATCTGATACCCTCACCCAAATAGAGGAGCATTTACTTTTCATGTAGGATTTAATTTCAACTTTTGGAAGTGTGCTCTATGACCCGTATCAGCTTTGTCATGAATATGGACTCCTGCAACTGCAGGTGACTCCGTTGACATTACAGAGCAGCACACACACCTAAAAAAAGAAACACACGTAGTTTTGCCATGATGCTGACTGTTCAACTGTTAACTACAATAACCACAAGTCTTGGAAACACAAATGCTAAACGATCAAATTTAGCTGAATTTCTACATGTCTAAGGTTATTTGAGGCAGACTTAGTTTAAAAAAAAAAAAAAAGAAGAAATGTGTGTTACTTATGTGTGTATATAAATATATAATATTATTAAGATGATTGAATGTTTAAATAAAAAACATTTTCCTTTCTTGCAAAACCATTTTCCTTCTGATATATATTTATTTTCTTATGACTGTATTAAAACGTAATAAATAACTCGTGGTTTCCCATGAAAGTGACAAAAAAATAGAAATGAAACAACAAAAAAAGGAAATGTCACATTTCATATGCTACATGGGCCACGTACAGACACACATACAAATGCATCATTTACAGACACAGGAATGTACAGTGTCTATTCTGTAAAATGACATTAATTAATTAAAAACATTAATGTAGCCAAACACCCTTTATGAACACATTTGTCTAAAACTACTAAAACATCCGTCTGCGTAGACATACTGAGAAAGATAGTTACCTCAGAAAGAATTCAGACCCTTGCACGTTTTGCACACATGGCTTGTAAATAACTCTTCACAAAATTTCACATTTGTACTTTCACACTCAATTTATGCTGAATAAGCCATTATGACAACATGAAAATATGTTTCAGACACTGTTGCAAATGTATTATCACTTTGGCTGCATTTACAGTTCATCCTGTGCTTCCTAACAGACCCTCTAAAACATTGTCTGATATGGACGGCAAGTGTCTGTAAATTGCCATCTTCAAGGTCTCCACGTATTTTCCATGGGATTTAAGTTTGGATTTTGGTCGGGTCCCTCAAGAACAGTCACTTGTCCCAAAAAGTGAACCATTATCCAGGTCTCAGGTCGCTGTAGTCTGGAGCAGGTTTACTTCAAGGATCTTTTTGTATTTGGTTGCAATTATCCTTCCCTTAGGTCCGATGAGACTCTCTACTGCTGAGAAGCCCCCTATATTATGATGCTGCTACCAGAATGCTTCAATGTGGAGATGGCATTAGCCAGAAGACAAGTAGTGCCTGGTGTTCAACAGACATAGCTTTTTGGAGTTCTGCCTAAACAGGTCTTCACAGTTCATCTCGTGGCCAAAGTTCTTTTTGTGTGGTTACTCAGTTTGGCCAGATAAAAACACACTTTCAGGTTCTTATCATGGTCCATTGAGTGTATACAAATGTAGACATGTGAAATATATGCATTTCAAATTAAATCTGCAACACAATAAAATGTGCAAAAAGCAAAACTGTCTGAATATTGTGTGAAGCGACTGTATCTAGTATTTGGGATGATCATTGTAAAAGGTTCTGTCAACATCAATCCCAGATACAGAGCAGGTGAAAACTCATTCTATTTAACCAGCATGTTCCAGCAGAAATGTTTGACATCCCAGACAGACATTCTCATAAAAGTGACGGAATGCCACAAAGTTTCAAGCTGATGAAAAAAAAGGCAGATCGGTTTTTGGAGCAGTTAAGGAGGTTGGGGTCTCAAGGACTGTTGTAGCATAAGCATAAACTATCAGAAAATGGTTTACCATGACAGTAACTTCAGGTAGCATGCTTGAGATTGTTGTCTGTCTCTTTATGCTAGCTCTGTAATGGATTGGAAAACCCTTCAGGTTGTAACCTTCCCTTGCCTGAAGTCGTCTGGGATAGGCTCGAGCTCTGTGTGACACTTCAGGATACATACATACATACATACACACACACACACATATATATATATATGTGTGTGTGTGTGTGTGTGTTTAAACATATATATATATGTTTAAACAAAAATGCAAAAGAATTAAGACACAAGAGCTGCAGCAGCTCCCTACAAAATGTAAAGTAATTATTCAATTTGAAGTATTTTTACTTTGATCTAGAAAATCAGTATTTTGTTTTCCAAATG